GAACAAAAATGAGTTTCAGCTTTAGCACTGAAAATCTTGGCGTATTCTTTTGAACTTGCACTATTCAGTGCAACCCATGGAACTCGTCCAGTGTTAGTGTGAACTGAGTGCGCACTGGTGCGCATTAAATTTTGCCCAATCGAAAACGCTATTATTCAATGCGTTTTTGCATAAAAATAAAGAATGGCACCCAGTTGGACACGGCTTAACCTTCAGACCGCCGGCATGGCGCATTTAGGCGCATAAAATTAAAATCATATATTTTTGATCAGATTTGTCATTCATAGCATATTTATGAATAATCACAGATTAGTCCAGTGCGAGTCGAAAAGTTCAAGATTTTCTATTGACGATTTGCGGGAAAAAAATTAAAAACTCAATTTTCTCAGAACAAAAATTTTTTCGTATACTTCACAAAATTCTGAACAAAAAAGGCACTTACAAGTTTTCCGCAAAAATGCACCGTTTTCGAGCAAAAAATTTCCGAAAATTGATGCATACGCTTATACCACCGCCCGCCGGCATGACGCCTTTAGGCGCGCACCTGTGATGGGTATATATCTACCACTAGTTGGGAGACACTTGTATGGAAATTTTCGATCAAGTATCACTTTTCTAGAAGAAAAAATGCCGGCGGTCAGAAGGTTAATTGGACACGAGCCACTCACAGCGCTTGAGACTACAAAGCTCCTAAGCACTGGTCGCTGTGATTGGTGGTGTCCAATTGAGCCGTGATCAATCGGGATCACTCCAAAATAAAGATTTGACAGAAAAAAACGTCGCGTTATTCTGTGAACAGAGATATTAGCCTGATATTTCATGTATCTTTAATCAAACTTAACTTATTTAGGTTAAAAAATCTGTCACTGCCACAAAATATACGATGCGAACATGCGCTGCAGTCGTACTTTCGTACTCTATGGCCACAAGTTACTCGCTGTAGTCTGTAGTACAGGGCACGAAATTTGAATTCAATAGCACACACTAAATATGATAAGCTTTCTTAATTTGGTCAAAGAAATTACTTATACTTACTCAATGCTTAATTTGTAAACAAATAATTTAAAACTGTGGTCATAAATAGGTACAGAAACACACGATGTCCCACTTAGTGGGACTAATTAAAAGTGTAAGACACAAGGTATAATACGTTATTATTGGTCTGTTTTCTGTTCCTGCACATACTGTTCTAGAACTCTCTTTTTCGCTTTAAACAAATATCAAACGTATATCTATCTTTTATGTCTTCGGTCTTTTCGCACATGCTCCCGATAGCTGGCGACCTCTTGTCAGCTGACGCTCTTTGCGCTATCACGCTAGCGGCGCTCGCAACCGTGCACTGGAGTCAAAAAGCCGGAGCACGATCGCCGGAGCACGAGTTTCGGAAAATAGCTTAGCGAATTACAAGTACCAGTTTCGGGAAAGAGCTTAGCGAATTACAAGTACGACCGACACGTTATCGAAGTACGTTCCGCAGTAATAAGTTACGTTTATCGATACGTTATAATAGTCTCGAGTCTCTTTGGAGATGTGCTTGCCGTTCCGTCATTGTATCAAATCTACGTTTGATTTATAAGTCGCGCAGTGTAAAGTTGTGTTTAAGAATAAAGTCAGTGATCGTTGAATTTAGAATAACGTGACTGTTTATTCAAAGCCTTTATCACGCTGTATCACGCAGTGACATCCTGATCATAAAACCTGCTTATAGATTAATGAGTATTGAAATCCAAATCGTAAAATAAAATACGAACTAAAAGTAAAATAAAATCAAGCTGTTAATCTTACAGTTAATATCTTACAAAAGTTACTAAAATTTTCCCTCGAGCATACGTCGAATATTTTCGGTTTATTCGTACAAATGCAACTCACACTTGTCCATAAACATATGGAGATGAGTATTAATTGTTTTCTTTTCAAAAAGAGGAGCGATATTTAATGTTATGACTA